CTAGCCGCTGGGATTACAGGCATGCACCACCACATCCAAAGCTGACATTTGATGTCACTAAGTTCTGAGCTTCTTTGACGGCTCACACCTTGCCATGGCCCCCAGAAAGCCTCCCTTACCCACTTGGAGCTCTTTGGCCATGGGCCTGCTGATCGTGGAGCTGGCCCTGGGGGCTGGGCAGGTGGGGGAGTGGACAGTGGGGCTTTGGTGACCTAGAATCAGTCAGGCTTCTGTTGCAACTGACACCCTGATTCCCAGCCCCCATTTCTACTGGGTGGGAACTCTCAGGCACCCTGGTGGCTGGTGGGAGTGTGGCAGGGTGTGCTCTGGCTAGGTCCACCCTGCTGGGCATCACCAGGTGTCCAGTGCCTGGTTGTAGGTGCTGAGGGAGGATGCACAGGAAGAGGGGGCAGGACAGGCAGGTGAGGAGGGGGCTGTGGTTGTGGTCCAGATGGTGGATGGCCCAGCACAGTGGCTGGGGATGGAGGGAAGAGAGTGGGTGGGTCTCCCCATCATCCTTGACTCCTCTCTGCACCCCACTTCCAATCCACCAGGAAATCCAATCTATCTACCTTCAAAATATCCAGAACCAGGACACAATTCCCCTCTGTCTCCCTGGCCCTGACTCCATTATCTCTCTCCTGGATTACAACAACCGACTCACCCAAGCCCCCCATGGCAGCTGGAGGGGTCTTACTGAAACAGAAATCAGACTGTGTCCGTCTTCTGCTGAAAACTCACCTGTGGTTCCTGGTGTTCTCTATACACATCTACACCAGCCCCTGAGGCTTTTTCTGACCTGCCCATCATCTCTTTCTTCTCTCCCCTGGCTGGCTTGACTTCTACTGCCCTGGCCTCCAAAATGCCCTGTGGACACTGCYGAGAGACTTCAGCCCCAGGGCCTTTGCATATGCTGCTTCTGAAGCCTGGACCGCCCTTTCCCATGAGCCACGAGCTCCCTTTCTTTCCAACTTCCCCACCCATACTCCCTGGCTTTCCCCTCTGCCTCTTCCCCACTTTATTTTCATCTCCTCTTTATTTACCATCTTCTGCTACATTGTGTATGTCTACCTTCTTAGATGTTCATTATTTTGTCTCCACTGACTAGAATGCAGGCTCCATGAGGGCAGGTGGGCGCATCACTAATATGTGGTCGKATGGCGGTGGTATTTATTGACAGGGGGAGTGACAGACCAGCTGGGGGTGGAGGTGGAGGAGATGAATTCCGCTGGGAAAATGGGGTTTGAGATGCCCAAAGGAACATTCAAGAGGAAATATATCCAGAAGGCAGTGAGAGGTGCAAGCACGTGCCTCAGTTTCCTTATCTGTCCATTGGGCTGCCAATCCCAGCTCCCTCCATGGGTGTCTGCAGGGAGAACTAGCCCCATGCACAAATGAGACAGAATCAGGACCTCGCATAGCATCAGCTGTTGGCAAATGATACACTGCTCTCCGTCTCCAGCAGCTGTGGCAGATCAAAAGCTACAAGCCCAGGAAATGCCTGTGGATGTCATGAAGAGTTACGTGGCCCAGAGGAGGGGTGCTGCTTCATGTGCTGTCCAGGGGAGGCCAGAGCCCAGGACTGGAGGAGAGTCTACAAGGCTCTGCTCTTGTCCACGCCTGCTCACCACTTTCTTTAACCCTAAGAGAATCATTTTTCCTTCCCCTCAGAGTCTTCACTTGGGACCAACCTCTCGGTGGCCGAGAGAGAGGATTTTTAAAACCAGCTTCATTGATTTTTTTTTTTTGAARGTAAAATCAATATTCTTCATTTAAAAAATAATTAGTAAAAGCCAGGTGCAGTGGTGCACGCCTGTCATCCCAGTGGCTCAGGAGGCTGAGGGAGGAGGATCACAGGTTSGAGGCCAGCCTCAGCAATTTAGTGAGGACTGAGGAACTTAATGAGATCTCATTCTTCCTATGGGTCAGACACTTGGGTGCATACTGTCATCTCATTTAATCCAGAGGGACTGTGTTAGGGTTTAGATGTGAGGTGTCCCCCAAAAGCTCATGGGTGAGAATGCAGGAAAGTTCAGAGGTGAAATGATTGGGTTTTGAGAGCCTTAACCTAATCAGTGCATTAATCCAGAGATTAACTGGGTGGTAACCTTAGGCAGGTAGGGTGTGGCTGGAGGAGGTAGGTCACTGGGGACATGTCTTTGGGGCTCATATTTTGTCACTGGTGAACACACCTCTCTGATTCCCGAGTACCATGTCCTGAGCTGCCTTCCTTAGCTGCACCCTTCTGCTATGATATTCTGCCTGACCTAGAGCGCCCCCCCCCGAATGGAATCAATTGTCTATGAACTGAGACCTCTGAAACCCTGAGCCCCCAAATATATTTTTCCTCCTCCAAAATTGTTCTTATCAGGTCTTTTGGTCATCACTGCGTACAAGCTGACCAAAACAGGCTGATTCTGTCCATTTGTATAGATGAGGAAACTGAAACCAGAGAGGGAAAGTCATTGGCCCAAGGTCAGCCAGCCAGGAGGTGGAGTTCAGAACTGAACCCAGGTGTGTCTGGCTGTTGGGGTACGGGCGGGGCTTTGTGAGAATGATTTACACCCTTTTGTCAAAGGCAGCCTTCTGTCCCTCACTGGGGCACCCAGGTGGGGATCTCTGGACCCTTGGTCTCTTGGGAGGGTCCCCGTTTCCATTTGGACCTCACCAGTCTGGGTTTAGCAATTGCGCCACCTGGTGGCCAGCCTTCTGCCACCTGTCTGTCTGTGCCCAGGACTCTGGGTGGGAAGGCAAAGGATAAGGAGAGGCTCTGGGCTGACCATTCCCTGCCATAGCCGCTGGGGCCAAGCCTGGTATGAAAGAAAAGAAAAAAATAAATAAAGGAAAAAACTGAAGGGCTCTGGGTTGAATTGCCTGGCTTCAAAGAGCTCCTCTCCCTCCTGTCTCTCCGAGTTGTTTTATGCATCTTTAAAATGGGAAAAAACAAAACACAGTTATGGTTGTTTTGAGGCTTATGGGAAATGCCTGGCTTTGTCCCAGGTAAATCATCCTTTAATTGATCAATAATTGATTCTTCTTTCATGCTACAGTTTTCTGTCCCCTCTACCCTCTAATGGGGGGGGCGGGGAGGGGGAGAGAGAGAGAGAGAGAGAGGACTGTAATGACTTTCAATAGTGACTAAGTACCCTGAAGGCCCCCCCACAGCTCCAGTGATTCTCCCTTTCTTTCAACAGCCCCTTACAACTCCTGTCCCTCAGCCCTCATAACTCTCAAACACCTGTCTCCCTCACTGATGGCTCCATGATTCTACTGGCTTCCCAGGACCTTGTGACATCTTTCAGGTCTCCAGGGGCTCTGGTGGTACCTTCTGTCCTCAGTGCCTCTCGCTGGTCTCATATATCCCCTTGTCCCTCTCAGCAAGTCCCAGTGGACTTCTATCATTTCTGAGAAATCATGGAGGCTTCAAGAGGTACCCTGTGGGACCAAAGGATTTTGAAGCTGCTAAAGACCCTCGGGGCTTCTTGCAAGGTCTTCCCCACCTTCTGTAGCTTTTCCATGGCCTTGATGATCCATCCCTGGTGATAGTTGGGGTGGCACTCAGAGGCTCCCAAAAGTGGTGTGTGACGGTTGTTCCACGCCAACTTGACTGGGCTAAGGGATGCCCAGATAGCTAGTAAAACATTGCCTCTGGGTGTGTCTGCAAGGGTGATTCTTGGAGCGATGCTCATTTGCATCTTTGAACCAAGTAAAAAAAAGATGGCCCTTGCCAATGTGGGTGGCAGAAAACATCTGGCCTGTGGAAGGCCCAGGTAGAAGAGAAAGGTGGAGAATGGGTGAACTTGTTCTCTCTGCTTGAGCTGAAACATCCATCTCCTGCCCTCAGTCAGCAGAACTTGTTATGGTTTAGATATGAGGTATAAATTAATTTCTCATGTTACCAATTCTGTAGACTCAAGGTCTACCAATCAAGGTTTCCTGGAAAGGAGACAGACCCACATTTCTGTGATTCAACCTCTTCTTGTCTTGCTGCCCATACATGTGTGTCTCAGACACAGGGAGGGAAGGTGGCAGGGAACAGATGATTGTACCAATCCCCGTAGCTCTGAGAAATACAAGGTCCTCAGGGACCCTCTGTGTATGTCATCAGTGGGATGCTTTCTCTGTGAGCGGGTATCACCACCTCAGAGACAGCGAGAGACCACGACAGGTTCAAGTAAACACTGAGATCAGGACTGGAAGAAAAAAAAATTGTGGGATAGCCATGAGCAGACACTGTGAGATGAGCTGATTGTACTGTGGACTGGCAGGACAAGATGTGCTCTGTGGTCTTGAGCGGACGTTTAGAAATGTCAGATAGAAATCTAGAGATTTTCGTCTAAGTTCTTAGCAATATTACAAACACTGTTGGAGCTTGGGAACGGTTCCTTCAGGACATAGCCAGTGTGGATACAGAGCTTTACCAGCCACCTGCAAGCTTGAGTGGGCAAATGGAGGAAAACCTGCGGCTACCAAGTGGCCAGACTGTGCCCCATCAACAGTGAACGCAAAGAAATGGCAGCTCCAGTTGTTTCCAATCGGCAATGCTGACCATAAACTCCAAACATGGAACCAGGATGGTTTGGCAGGCACATCATGGGAGTAAAACAACGATCCCTCAACAACAACAACAACAACAACAACAACAAGAAAAACTCAAAGAATATCACCCTGCCGGGAACAAGAATGTGGTAGTTCACTTCTTTAATTTTTAAAAATGAGTAAGCAGTCTTGTGCCCTTTGGATCCCCAGTAAAAACGTTCATTATGCAAAACAGTACAACCTTTTACATTTTTTTTTAATAATACTGTAAATATCTCAGAAAGGATGTATTGTTTCTAATGAATATCAAAAATGTCATCACAATGATGCGTTTCCCCCCACCCCCACGCTGCCCGCCCCACCCCCCTAAAGTTACCCAAACACACTAGTAGGAAATTACAAAAAAAAAAAAAAAAGAAAAGAAAAAAAAAAGAAATAAAATCTCCCTCCCACACCCACGGCCTCCCTCCACCCTGCCCCGATGAGTAGTGTTAAGCGTCAAGTGTTAAGTGCCAGATGTACCCCGTGTGTGTGTGTCCGTCAAGACGAGACCTCAGAGATCTATGGGTCCGTCCGTGAGGGAGTTGGTGGTGGAGGACACAGTAGCAGCATTGGCAAGCCCCCTCCCTGACTGCCGGGAGGATAGCAGCCGAGGACCAACACACGCAGGCCATCTTCCCGGGTCCATTGGGCCAGACAGCTCAGGGTGACACTGGCCTTCCCATGAGGAGGACACTGGACTTTCCACCCATGAATGGGCAGGCCTGAGCTGTGTGCCCAAGAGGGGGGGGGGCTCCAGAACAAGGTGCCCCAACCTGCCCAGAGTGGGAGCTGGGCGTCCCTCGGAGCAAATTTMCAGTTTTAGATGGGGGCTGGTCGGAGCAGAGAACCTGGCAGTTTGGAAACTTTGGGGGTGAATCCAACACGTGGGTGCCCTGTAGGAAAATGCAGCCTTAGTTTGGAAAGGAAAAAAGAATTCACCTTCCTGACCTCCAGCAGCCGAGGAACAGGGAAGGGGGTTACCAGCCAGGGAGGCCAGGAGCTGGGCTGGGAGGGTGCAGTACCAGTCTCCCCTGAAGACCCCAGGTTCACACAGAGCAAGAGCCAGGAGGAATGGCCGGTTCTCCTCTTTAGCAGGGGAYGAAGACAGAGGGCAGATGGGATGGCCCCCGAATAAAGATCCTCCAGCACAGTCAAGAGGGTGAGCATAGGGGGCAGCAAGAGGGAGAAGAAGTGGCCCTGGGCACACRGAGGGGCTCAGATTGAAACCTGGCTCCCGGGGCCTCACTGGGAGGCTGCAGATCTTGGCTGGGGAAGCTGCAAGGAGAAAAAAATGCTGCCTCCTGACTCCAGAGACCAGCCCCCATGGCCGCTCCAGACAGCCCTGCTTGGGATGGAGGGACAGAACTCAGGGGGACAGCAGAGAGCCTGGAGACAGGGAGGCCCAGATGGGAGGAAGCCCCGCCCGTCTCTAGGAACAGGGATGAGAGCAAACGGAGTTTGGGGGAAAATACACATCGCCACCACATTGTCCCATGATACATCCGATTGTAAAGAAGCAGGTGGGAATGGGGGTCCGGCGGGGAGGGCAGAGGTGGCCCGCGGGTCTTCAGGAGAAGCTGATATCAATGGCAGCTCTGCAAGGCAGTGAGGCAAAGAGGTCACCCGCTCTAGCTCCTCCCCCAGCTGGGGAGATGGGAACACTGAAGCCCAGCGGAGGGAAGGTAGTAGTGCCCAAGAGATCAGGGCAGAGATGGGGTTGGGGGGGGGGTCCTACAAATCAGGAGTCCTTCTCTGCCACATGACCCTGAGTCTGCAGACCCCATGTCCATGGCCAAGGGAAGGCTCAGAGTAAAACACTCCCTGGGGGCACGGAGGAGGGGCGGCTGCCCACGGTCAGGGACAAGCGCAGATGTGGACTGGTGGGTTCCAAGGCCAACAGAGGAGGCCAGGCCTCACTCCCCATCCCACCTGCCCCCAGGCCCAAGGATAAAAGTTTTACAATAGGATACATTAATCCCTAGAAAACACGAATTAAAACCACCCGAGGGCAAGAAGGGTGTGCTAGTCACTGTACAGTATTATCTTGTGGTGGATACTTCTAGGGTCACTGGGAGAGGGCGAGGGGGGGGGCTCTGGCTTTAAACCAGAGGGTACGGTGGCCGGCTGGAAATTAACTTGTTAATACATCCTGTGCAAAACGAGCAAGCCCCTAGCATTAGGAGAAGTATGTGTTTCAGGTATTTTTTTTTTTTTTTTTTAAACACACGGGAGGGAAGAAAGAGAAGAGAAAGCCTTGAGGTGGCGGGAGGTGGCTCAGAAGTGCGTCTCCTTTTCTGTGATGGCGGCGATGGTGCCGTCACCCTTGAGCTTGGCGTCACAGTCATTAACCAGCACCGTCCGTGGGCCTGCCCCAAGCTTGCCCCGCATTTTCAGATCGGCGCTGGGGACTGTCAACTTCCGGAGTTTCTAGGTGATTGGAGAGGAGAAGAGTCTGAGAGGGGCTGCGGTGGGGGSGGTCTGGGCTTCAGCCTCTGCCATACTCATCTGATCTGAATGGTGTGTTGGCTCCTGTGGGTCTTCCCTACCCCTGGCCTTAGGTAAGGAGCAACRTTGGCATGTGCAGAAGACCGGGACCCACGGGAGGGGACCTGGGAGCTGCGGTTTGAATCGCCGCGCAGCCACTGCACTTGACCTCTGTGATCTACCTTTTCCTCCTCTGTGAAACGGGTTAACAGTTCCTTCCTGGAAGGGCTGTTGAGACAAGGACKCCCAGACGGAGGGGCACCTGTCCCACAAAAGGGATGTCCTCACCCTGCCAGCACACAGGGCAATGCCCGGGTGTGTCATGTGCTCCTGGGGCCTTGCTCACATGCAGATCACTAATCTTGATCAGGAATGCCAATGCTCACAGCCCTGCCGGCTGGACACAGTGGGAYGGCTGTCATCCCCTACCTCTTGCCTCTCAGAATGGGACCCCACATCAACTTCATCAGGACTTCCCAGGTTCCCCGAGGAAAAGACACGAGGCCAGGATTTGGGAGGCCCTTTCCAATCAGAAACRCTTTCCTGAGTGGGGGAGGGGGGCTGCAAAGAATTGAGGAGGTAACTCCTTCGAGGTCTTCTCTTTCAGACCTTGCCAGGCCTGAGAAACTAAACCTACAGTGTCCGCATAGGAGCGTCAGGCTGATGCACTGGGGCTGATTGATAGGTGCCTCCTGTGTGTCAGGCACCGTGTCAGGCTCTTGACCTAGATTAGGGTTTAGAGCCCAGGCTCTGACCCAGGAGCCTGGGTCTGGGTCCCAGTTCCACCGCTGCCCAAGGGCAAGAAACTTCAGCTCTCTGTGCCTCGGTTTCCTCATCTGTAAAATAAGGGCACCGGCTGTCTAGCATTGTCACGAGGCTCAGATGAGGTGACCAGCCACGGTACTGACACATTACTTCTATGAGTATATGATTTTCCTTCTGGGCAGTCCTCCAAGGCAGGTCCTGTTGTCCCCACTTTCCCTCCAGATTCTTCCTGTCTGTGGGCAGAAGTCTGTGAGGCCTGGAAGCTGGGTTTGACCGCCTTCAGAGACTTTGCTCTTTCATAAGTCACATTGTTGTCCAGGTTGGGTCAGAAGGGGTGTAAATTTAGGGAGATGGAGGAAGCTCAGGAAAGCAGCCGGTACTCTCTCTCCCTCTTTTCTAACACACAAGAGCTGAGAAAAAAAAAAATCTCTGGGGATCTAGCAGAAAGCACCGAACATTTCTGAACGTCCAGAGGTCATCTGAAAGTTCAGTCAGTGCACGGGGCGTCCAGTGGGTGAACTTTTAAAGCCACGAGGACGGCTCCCTTCTGGAAGTGTTAGGTCTCAGATCAGAATTAACCAATTGCCTTCGACCCACATTCCTTACAAGCAGTGAGGAGCCTGACTTGCTCTGKGCATGAGCAGGTTTCATAGGGACCTTCCTTCCTGGCTCGCTCTTTTTGGCTGGGTGCCCAGGGCCCTCTGTGAGCAGGTGAATTGGGTGACATTTGACTCTGAGCTGGAACTTGCTTCTGCACACACACTTCCTACCCCTGTCTCCCTCTCTCCTTGAGCTAGGAGACAAGAGTCAACTTCTGCCACCCCTGTGTGATGTGGCCATCGGGCAGAAACGGGGGCCCTGAAATGGAGCAWGGTCAGTTCAGTCAAAGAAGCTGAGGCAGCAAAGCCCAGGAACACAGACTTTAGTTCTGGCTCCATTTTTCAGAGGCTGTGTCTCTTTGGAAAGTTTCTTTCTTTTCTTTTCTTTCTTTTTTTTTTTTATGAGAGATTGAACCTAGGGACACTCAACAACTGAGCCACATCCCCAACCCTTTTTTGAATTTTACTTAGAGATAGGGTCTCACTGAGTTGCTTAGGACCTTGCTAAGTTTCTGAGGCTGGCTTTGAACTTGTGATCCTCCTGCATCAGCCTCCCGAGCTGCTGGGATGACAGGTGTGCACCCAGCAGAAAAAGTTGCTTTACTTCTTTGTGTGCTAGTTTTCTCATCTGTACAGGTGATAAGCGTCTGCATCTCACAGGATTAAATGACTTAGTATTTGTAAACTACATAGGACAGTGCGTAGCATGAAGCAAACATTGTGGTTTGCAGAAAGTGACTTCAACCCTCTGACTGGCAGATGGGGAAGGAGAGTAAAGGGAGAGCAAGTACCCAAGGATAAGACGGGCTGGTTTAAAATAAAGTCTGCTAATAGAAGACCACGTGCTGTATGGTTCCTTTTTAAGAAGTGACCAGAATAGGCAAATCCACAGATAGAGAAAGTGAATTAGTGGTTGTCTAAGGTGGGAACAGGGGTGAAGTGTGAATGATTCATAGTTTTTGATTTTGGGTGATGACTGCACTATATGAAAAGCCATTAAAATAATATTGATCTGTGTATCCGAAAYGAATGAATTCTGTGATATGTACTTAAAGCTGTTTTTAAAAATTGCTCTGCTAACTTTGGGCTATGGGATCTTAGGCAGTGACTCCACTTCTCTGAGCCTCCATCTCCTTTACCTGTTAACTGCAGGGCCTTGGTTTGCTCTGAGGAGTGCAAAAGGTGCAGCGGGTAGAGAGCCCAGTAAGGGGGGTGACACAGAATAGGTGTCCCCAAATGTCAGGATGAATAGAGTGAACAGAAGACTGAGCACTAAACACTTGGCTACACCTGATCTGGGTCCTGGTCCTGTGCTTTCCCTGTGTGGACTTCCAGCATCCTCATCGGCCCTATCCGTTAGGAGCTGCTGTTATTCCACTTGACAGATGGGGAAACTGAGGCTGAGCTCACACCTGGCTCCCCCCCCCCCGGGGACCTCACAGAGACACGCTCAACACAACTGGAATGATGAATGTCTGCCGTGGCTCCCCTGTGTGACGGGTAGGGACAGGTTCCATCAGGCCTGTGATCCAGATGAGGAAGCTAAGGCCTGGAGACGGGCCGGGCTCTGCTCCTGCTCACCAGCCCTCCCTGTGTCCCTCTCTGCCCCCGGAGCTGTCTCACCTCGGACAGCGTGCCCTCTGTCTTCCACAGCTTGATGAAGATCCAGAGCGGGATGCAGAGCATGGAGGACATGGCCATGAGCCAGCCGATGCCGTAGCCCCAGGCAGGGTAGGTGTAGACGTTGTTGTACTTCAGGGGCTTGTACTTGACCAGGAAGAAGATGAAGATGCCCTGCAGAGACACAGAGAGGTCCCCGGGGAGGGTCTTCAGCCCCGCTGACCCAAGATAGGTCTAAGTCCCCTTTGCCTATGTCCACAGTGARTGTGGGGCACAAGGACCTGGAGACCCTCCCCACAGTCACCTTTCATCCAGGGAATGGGACCCTGGGTTCCAGACTCCCAGGTCTTAGGGAAGAGCACAAGTCCCAGTTCTCCCCACCTCTGTCACCCTCTTTGTTAATGACAAGGCAACACCTTCTCACTCACATAATCCTCCACCCCCAAGGAGCAGATTCCAGCACCTAGCTTGAGTACACTGAACCCGGAGCACTGAGAAGGAGGAGACTTGCTCTTGGTCACCTACCCTGATTGGGTGGCAGAGCTGGGTCCTGCCTTGCCATGCCCAGAGTCTGGCCCTGTGACCCCCAGCTTCCCAGGGTGTCCGGTGGCTTGGACGCTGGGGGTCATGAGCCTTCTCAGTACCAGCCTCTGCTAGGCTGAAGGGCTACCATGTGGAAGAGTGGGTGACCCAGTAGGCGGGTCACTGGAGGGGCTGCAGGTGGGGCTCTTACCGCACAGATCCCAGGGGTCACGACCTTCCAGCACCATCTGATGAGCGACAGTGGCCGGTAGCCAATCATGTCTTCAATGTTATCATAGAACCGGTTGCTTCCTGTCCAGAATAAAGCAGATAGGCAGCCAAGTACAAAAGTCAGGAGAGGTTAGGTGTCTGTTTGCTTGCTTGGGAGAAGTGCTTGCCCCAAAGGCAATACTCTGTCTGACCCTGAGACAGAGAAACTGCAGCAGGGACCTTACTGAATATTTAACACCTAGCAAAAAGTGCTAGGACTTGGATGTCCTATGTCCAAAGGCTGGGTCCCTAGGGCGGTGCTATTGGGAGCGGTGCTGGACCTGCAGGAGGTGGGGCCTATGGAAGGCCCATAGGTCACTGGGGGGTTCCCAAAGGAACTGTGGGACCCTGCCTGATCTCTCTTTCTCTGCTCTCTGGATTGAGAGGCCCTGACATGTATTCCTGACACTGTGTGGTCCTCACCAATGGGGCCACYCGATCTTGAACGTGAATCTCCTGAACCCGGGAGCCAACATGAACTTAGCTCTCACTTCACGAGGAGCCTGCCTCAGGTGCTGCGTTACAGTGGCGCCAAGGTGACTGACACAGGGGGCGTGGTCTGGAATAAGCTGTGGGCAGGAGGGACTCTGGACGGCTGATGGAGTGGGGCTCTCCGGACCTGGGCAGCCAGGTCCAGAGAACAGCAAGGAGGTTCTGGAGAAAGATTAGGAAGGTGAGCCCTCTGGAGAGGCCAAGTGTGGCGAGGGGGGCTGACCTGCGTGGGCAGAGGGCGGAAGCTGACGGACCCCGAGCAGAGGTGGCTGTTCCCAGCCACACTCTACCTGATCCTGAGCCTGGYAGCCTGCACTTGGGTTTGGTTTGGGGAACGGATGGATCAGAGGCAGGTGTCACCGAGGGCCAGGCACTGCGCAGGATATTTCACCTATCCTGTCTCCTGCTCAGAGACAGGGCCACGGCTGCTCCATTTCACAGAGGGGGAAACTGAGGCTCARGGAAGGACTGGCCCGAGGTCACAGTGCCTGGGCCCTGAGCCCCTCCCCCTGGGCTGCAGGTATGTACAAGCAGGAAGGTCTCCCCCACCGTRGGAAGGGGCCAAGGGGCCCCAGAAGAGAAAAGGGGAAGAGGCTCACACAGACAAGGACCACCGTGGAGACCAGGGCCCGGCCAGGACCGAGTGTGCGCAGGTGCCCGTCCACTCACCATACACCCAGCCGATGCAGACGCACTCGAAGATGGCCACGAAGAGAAGGCACATCCCGCTGGCCGCGTAGGAGTCAAAGAGCTGGAAGATGTACATGCCTCCCTGCAGGTGTGGGGACAGACGCCAGACAGACACGGGAAAGAGCGGGGTCAGCCARCAGGCCTCTGGGCGGGCCCCTCTACTCTGCAGCTCTGCAGCTACCACTGGTCRGGAGTCTGCTTGTCCCTGAATACTGCACCCGGGTGTCCCCAAAGCCCCGTCCTCTGGGGGTTACTGGGACTGTGGGGGGTTATCTTGCCTCAGCCCCTCCTTTGCCATCTGCCCRAGGGCCAAAAAAATGGAACGGAATATCAGAGTCAAGGTTGGAAAACCACAGCACATCTCCCTAAATGGTGCTAACAGCCTCCGGAAGAGCCTCCCTGACTCCAGCCTCACCCTCTGCAATGCTTTTGGGTACCAGCTTTCTGAGGGACCTTTCCACCAGTGTCACTCTATAGTTTAAAATCACTCCGGGGCTCTCTAAGTCAGGACTGGGACTTGTCCTCCTCCCTTCTTCAACATACTCCCTCTCGGACAGAGCAAGGGACAACTTAGTCTTTCACCTGTCAAGTTCCTTTGAAGCTCAGATCAAATCTAATCTCTAAAAAACCCCTCTCAACCTCATTCTTTCTTTGGGCCTCCAAAGCATGTGTTAGAGATTCACGGTCATAAAACAAAAAGTACTTTCCCACTGGCTGCTCTGTGAGCTCTCACTCCTGCTGGCCTGGCCCCACACACCGGTCCTCCTCTTGCCTCCAGCCCTTGGACGGGGCGTGGCRCACAGTAGGTCCCTGATAAATGCACRTGGAATCATGCAGAGTGTGGGTCTGTGGGACAAGGGCTCTGGCTTGTCCTGAACTATGCCCCAGTTTCTGGCCCAGAGGGTGGCACCCAGTAGGTGCACAGTCAATCTCTGTGGGATGAAGGGGATGAATGCGCTGCCTCTGTAATATATGGCTGGCCCTCTGCACCCACAGGTTCAGCATCCMCAGATTCAACAAACCTCAGAACGAAAATAATTGGAAAAAAATTTAAAAAATATCCCTACATCTGTACTGAACATGGATAGACATTATTCCCTAGATTACAACTACTTTCCCAGTACTGACACTGTAGTAGGTGTGATACATCATCTAGAGATGATTGAAAGTCTATGGGAGGATGGGCATAGGGGAGTGGTGGGGAGCATGGCTAACCGGAGAGACATAGCCCCTTTGGCCACACAGCTCTGGGTGATGACTGTTGGGGAGGGGGTGTGTAGGTACGAMGCCAGATCTATGGATTTTTTAGGAGACACCAGAAAGCCAGATATTCGAGGAAATTTGTTTTTGTCTTGTTGATGACTTCTTCATGTTTTTTTGAAATATTTTTTAGTTGTCGATGGACCTTYATTTTATTTATTATATGTGGTGCTGAGAGTTGAACCCAGYGTCTCACACATGCTAGGCAGGTGCTCTTCCGCTGAGCTACARCTCCAGCCCGACTTCTTCATGTTTGAAAGAAATGTGTTAGGGGCGACACAAAACCACCCTCTGGGCCATATCTGATCTGTGGTCTCCTGTCTGTGACCGCTACGGTGCAGATGAGGCAGGTCTGAGGCACCCCTGAGACTTGCAGTGGGTTTGGCTTTCTCAGTCCCAACTTAAGGTCCCCTTCCTAACTGCTCTCCTTCCATGCACGTCATCTGTGAAGAACAGARCAAGGTTCCCTGTGGCTCAGGAGGCCGAGGAAGGAGGATGGTGAGCCAGCCTCAGCAACTTAGTGAGGYCCTCAGCAACTTAGGGAGATCCTGTCTCAAAATAAAACATAAAGAGGGCTGGGGATATGGCTCAGTGGGGAACCACCAAAGAGATCAAGGAAACCTTTTACGAAGCATTTGTCAAATACAGCCATGCCTCAACTGATGATTTTTTTTTTTTGAATTGTGAATGGACAGACTGCCTTTATTTTTTTCATTAATTTTTTATGTGGTGCTGAGGATCGAACCCAGTGCCTCACACATGCTAGGCAAGCRCTCTGCCACTGAGCTACAGCCCCAGCCCCTGATGATGTTTCTTAATGAACTGCATAAATGACAGTCTCCCAAGACTGTACTKCCTGGTGACATTGTAGTGATGCTCCATAGAACAAAGTAATTGCCTAAGGACAGGCTTCTCAGAACACATTCCTGTCATGCACAGCAGTACCCGGCTGTTCCCTTTCTTTCCTTCCTTCCTTCCTCTCTTTCTCTTTTTAAATTTATCTTTTGGTACTACGGATTGAACCCTGGGGCATGTAACCACTGAGCCTCATYCCCAGCCCTTTTCATTTTTTTTTATTTAGAGACAGGGTCTTGCTAAGTTGCTTAGGACCTTGCTAAGTTGCTGAGGCTGGCCTTGAACTTGYAATCCTCTTGCCTCAGCCTCCTGAGTTGCTGGGATGATAAGTGTGAGCCACGGTTGTGTCCTGTGTCTTAATCCACTTGTCTGACTGTCCCCATGTGCTTACAAGATAGGGACTATGGTTATCCCCAGTGATTACTGGGGGAAAACTCAGGTAYAGAGAGGTGAGAATCCCTCCTGCAGCGGGCTCTCGGAGGGGCGGTCTGGCTGCAGGGCTCAGGGCCTTACCCACTCACCACACTGCCTGAGAGGAGGATAGATGGCTGGCCTGGAGCTGAGCTTTTAATGTATATAAATGAGGGAGAAGATCCGTCCAGCAATTACCACGAAGGCGRAGGCGGACACGGTCCATTTGGCAATTTAAAGAAATTCCCTGGTGCAATGGCCCGCAGATATGTCCCTGCTGAGGCCGGAGGTTGGCACGTGAAGCCAGGGCGTCTGCCCTGCAGCTGGCTACAGCGCTGGTTTCCTGATGGTCCCTGGAGGTCCTGAGGCACCCCGTGGGCAGACCCAAGGCAGGGGAGAGGCTCTGCGAACGGGGGGCAGCTGGGGGTGGGCAGCGCTCCAAGACGGGGACACCCGTGCCAGCGCTTGCTCTTCTGGTAACCCTGTCCCTGTTGGCCTCCTCAAGGCATCGGGTTCACCCCCGCGTTTGCATGCCACAAAAGACTCTGCTCTGCGTAATTAATCGGTGCTTAATAAGGCTCTGCTCACTGCAGCGCCCCGGGTGCCCTGTGTGGGGAGAGGTGAGAGGGACCAGGAAATGCCGCGCCGCCCTGTCCCTTCACTTGCTTAGGTGCTGMTTGTCAGGCTCACGAAGCTGACGATGGCGAGAAGCAGCGATAATAGAGCCTGGAATAATGCCGCTGAGCATCCTCGGCTTGGGGCCAGGCCTGAGCCGGCTCTGGGGCCACAAGGCTGGACAAGGTTCAGCTCCGGTTCTCACGGTCCCCTGGGTCTGGTCGGGGAGGTGGGTGGGGGGCGGATKAGGACACGGGATGGACCTAAGGACCTAGGGTGGGAGGGAGGCTGGTCTGAGCAGGAGCGACCTGCTGGAGGGTGGGGGCTGTGTCAGAGAAGAAGGGCAGAAGCRGTGTCCCCAGGAGGAGGTGGCCTGTGAGCTGGAGGTGGAAGACAGGAGGTTCACCAAGGAGGAGTCAACCTGCTCACAGGCTTGGCTTTCTAGTGTCACATCAGCTGCTTTGACTGATGCCGAGTTCCCTTCTTTCTTTCTTACAATACCCTTTTCTCTCGGTGATGTTCTTTTTTTTTTTAAATTAATTACCTTTGTGCATGTGGGGAGAGAGACACCGAATTGCACCCTCCCGAGGCACTTGAGAAACTGTCTGCCAGGATGGCTGCAGGAGCAGGGAGAAGCGTGGTTTCTCAAGACAGTCTTTGGGGGGGCCGTGGAAAACCCTCCTTAATCGCCTGCTGGYCCCGGCCAGAGCAACACTAGGGACTATGCTGGTTTGAACGTGAGGTGTCCCCCAAAGCTCCTGTGAATGCAGGACTCTTCAGAGATCAAGTGATTGGGTCACGAGAGCCGTGGCCCCAGCAGTCCACCCCAGTCTGAATGGACGGACTGGGGGGTAACTGTAGGAGGTGGGTGTGGCTGGAGGAAGTGGGTCACTGGGGACGTGCCCTGGAAGGGTGCATCTGCCCCGAAGCCCCCTCTCCCCCTCTCTCTCTRCTTCCTGACCCGGCCACAAGCTGAGCTGCTCTCCTCCGCCACACCTCTCCACCCTATCGATCTGCCTCACCCAGGCCCACGGCAAAGGAGYCGGCCATCTATGGACGGAGGCCTCCTCCGAGTTGGACTTGTGGGGCACTCTGCTCACAGCAATGAAAAAGCTGGTTAARACGGGGCCACRGACAAAACCGGAGCTGGAACACAGTGTCCCGAAGGTCCCTAATGTCACCGATGCCTATTCTCAGATGTCCCCCTAGAAAAGCCTGCTTTGAACGAGAGATCAAAGGCAACCACTTTACTCATAGCCAGGACCCAGGCGTCCCCATGCTCTTAAATACTGGCGAAACCCAAGGGCCCCCTTGGGCATTACCCCTCTCTGTTGGCAACAGCAGCTACCGTCAGCCAAGCRCGGCTTACGCCAGACCCTGTGGCCACGACCTGACGGGAACCTGCCTTCCGTTCTCACCTCGACCCGTTGGGAAGAGGAGAAACTCGGGGGCAGAGAAGGTACTAGACCTGCCCAGGCTCCTGCAGCCAGACAGGGCCAGAGGAGGGACGTGACGTCAGACCTGCCTGCCCCAAAGCCCAGGCACTTGGCGTTGGCRCGCGGCCACGTGTGCCACTCACCTCTGTTAGCATCACGAGGCCCAGAAAATAGGAGACGACCGATAGGGCCAGGATGAGCAGCTCCCGACGATAGCCCCTCCGGAAGACCTTGGGGTACATGTCCACCACGGCGGTCACCAGGCTTTCCACGCACACAAACTGGATGGGGTGGGGRGTTGAAGATGAGATGGTGTGAAACCCAAGAAAAAGGCTGTTCCTGGGGGTGCTGGCTCTGSGTGAGCGCTGCGGAGGGTTCAACCCCGGCCTCCTTTCTACGCGGCTCAGGCTTCGTTCCCACACTCACTCCCGTGATGGGGGGGCCCGGGAATCATGACGGCTACCCCAGCACTAATGGGGACCTGGCGTGTCCACTTAACACACAAGGGCAAAGTCGCTCAGAGAGGGGAGGGAACCTGCCCAGGGTCACTCAGCATGCAGAGTCTTGTCTACGTGCTGGCCCCTTTCCTGGAGTTAAATGAGTTAAATGAGACCCAGTCCCGGCCCTTGGGGCAAGGCAGGGGTCTCTCCCTCTGTCATTGTCTTGGAGGCAGGCTCTGTGATCTCCAGGGCTGTGTGAGTTCCCCAGCCTCTGGCTCTGGTGGTTGGAGGACAATACCCAGCTCCTGTGTTTCTGCCRTCTCTGGGCCAAACTGTCCAGGCATTGATGGCTGAATTGAAGCATCTGAATCCCAAGTGTTGGACACAATCAGGCAGGCCAACTCCTTGCCTGGTCAATACCCAGACTCAATATCCCAACACCATACCCACCCCTGCTCCCAGGTTCTCAGAGAACTGAGAGCAGATCTCTTGCATGACCCCTTTGCTGGAGAAGAACTTAAAATTTTTTTTTTTTTTTCTGATGGGCACCATGTTGGCAGACCCCTTCCTTGGAGCAACTTCTTGGTCTTAAATCTTTTATGATTCATTTCTACCTTCTTAGGAAAGATATTTCCATCCTTATACTGCGCAGAACAAGGGAAGGAAGCACAGAGAGGTAAAGTGATTATCCAAAAGCCACTCAGCTGGTTGAGAGTCCTGGCACTGGGACTCCAATCCAGCCCTGCGCGATTCCAAAGCCCAGGCTCTGCCTCCAACAGCAAGGGCTGGCATTGCTCACCCTTTCTCCAGGGTCCCGGGAGGGAGGGGATTCAAGGAAGATGGTTTAAGCAAAGAAGAAGAGGAAGAGACACTGGAGTGTGTAGCTAAGGCGCAGACCTGGGTGTACGTCCCAGCCAGTGACCTGGCATCTCTGGGCCTTGGCTTCTTTTGTATAGTGTGGGGGCAACAAAAGGGGTCCCTGGCCCACAKGGTGGTTGTGACAATGAACTGAGAACACAGCCCAGGCACACGGCAAGCACAGSCGAGGCTCCAACCCCGCCTCCTCCGCCAGGCAGCCTGTCCTGTCATGTGCCAGTGCTGATCCCTGATCCCTCAGAGGATTCTGCCCGCAACAATGAGAAGATTATCAGCCGAAGCACAGGGGCTCCTGCAGCCCGGCTTAGCAGTTTCCGAGGAGGAACGGCTCAGGGGGAGAATTGAGCTTGGCTGGGTTGACAGACGCCTACACTGACCRTGCTAAGTGACTTGTGCAGAGGCACGGTTGGGGCAGTATCTGCTGGGCCATCCTGGGCACTGTCCTGCACAGGCTTGGCTGGGCAGGAGGCTCGGGGGTGGCGGGGGGGGGGGCTGCACCATCTTGTTAAAACTGGGCATCTTGCCTGTATAGCCTCCCACCCAGAACAGCTCCCACATGCCAAGGGAACCAAGTGGCCACCCAGGCTGTGTTACCAGGAGGGGTGGTGGCTGGGACCAAAGGTCGCTCCTAGGAAGAGTGCCTGGCCACAGGGCGCAGTGGTGCACGCCTGTAACCCCAGTGGCTTGGGAGGCTGAGGCAGGAGGATCCCAAGTTCAAAGCCAGCCTCAGCAAAAAGCGAGGCCCTAAGCAACTCAGGGAGACCCTGTCTCTAAATAAAATACAAAATAGGGCTGAGGATGGGGCTCAGGGGTCGAGTACCTGAGTTCAATTCCTGGTCCCAATAAATAAAAATAAATAAAAAAAGAACACCCAGCCTCCCCGGCCCCCCTCCCTCTGGGCTGCTTACCTGGCTGTCCAGGCCCAGAAAGATGAGCATCATGAAGAACAGGGTGGCCCACAGCGGGGAGAGAGGCATCATGGTGACAGCCTTTGGATAGGCAATGAAGGCCAGGCCAGGACCTGGGAAGAAAGAGAGAAAGAGAGAGAGCGAGCTGCTGGTGGAGTCAGTCCCTGTGTGGTTGGTACTAGGCTGGTGCCCAATTTTCTTTCTTTCTTTTTTTTTTTTTCTGGTATCAGGGTTTGAATTCTGGGACACTCAACCACTGCACCACATCCCCAGCCCTTTTTAATATTTTATTTAGAGACAGCATCTTGCTGAGTTGCTTAGGGCTTTGCTAAGTTGCTGAGGCTGGCCTCGAACTTGTGATCCTCCTGCTTCAGCCTCCCAAGCTGCTGGAACTATAGGCGTGGGCCACCATGCCTGCCCTCCCTTTTTTTCTTGATTTAATGGTGAYTTGTCTATTCTTTTTTTTAAACCAGGATTTTAAATTCTTTTCCTGTTTCACTAATTTCTGCTTTTCTTTTGACTATTTGCTTCCTTACGCATTTTTGTGGTTCACTTTGCTCGTTTGTTTTTGTGTTGTTTTGAGTGGGGAAGTCAGTTTATTTTCATTCTTTCATCTCTAATGATAAATGTGCTTAGTATGGTGTGCTTTCTCTGTTTCTATGAAGTCTCCTTGCACCTCCCGCAGGTTCTGCCTTGTGCTGCGCTGTGTTATTTGGTGCATATATTACATTGTGTGTTGTAAACTGGAACAAAAAAGTGTTCTTCTTGGTAGTGCTTAACACCCTTGGGCGTGGATCCTACTGTGACCTGAGCTTTGCTCCGGCTGTCCAGCCCTTTATGTTCAGTCTTTGTGAACCAGCTTTGCTTGAGGTGTGACTCTCCTGTGCAGGACAGACTTGGATCTAGGTTTGTGAGTCAAGTCAAAGGTCTTTTCCTTTTAATAGGTAAGTCAAGCCTACTCACGTTTATTGATATGATTGATTCGTTTGACCTTAACTGCCCCTTGAGTAATTTTTCTTATTACATTTTTTTTTTTTTAGTATTTGTTACATTTTTCAATGACTTAAGTGTTGTTTCCATCTATATATTTTTTATTGCATTCGGGAAGGTTGTGTTCCAGTGGTTATTTTTATAAATGCTGTTAAGCCCTTGTTTTCTTATTTAAACCTTTATTACTCCGCTTTCTCAGGTTTCTCCCTTCCATATTCTTTAACAGAGCTATTGTCTATAAAACAGAGGTTTTTTTTTTTTTCAATTTATTTTTCTTTTTCTCCTTTTTCCTTCCATGTGTTATTTGGATAATTTCTACTTTATGACAGATAATATCCAGCATTTCTACATTAGTCTCCTCTCTCTTCTCTGCATTGCTTTTCGTGTTAGACACACACACACACACACACACACACACACACGTGTTATTTAATTTCTTATTATTATTTATTGGTGCTGAGGATGAAAGCCTGGGCCTTGTGCACACGAAGCACACACTGTATCACCATGCTACATCCCCAGCAACAATTAAGCACCATTTAAAAAAAAAATATTTATTATGTATCTTTTAGTTTTAGGTGGATACATTAGTTTGTTTTTATGTGGTGCCGAGGATCGAACCCAGTGCCTCATGCATGCTAGGCGAGCACTCTACCACTGAGCCATCACCCCAGCCCCAATTAAGCACCATTAAGCCCTCACTGTGCATCTTTTTGTTGGACATTTTCCTGGTCACTATGAGGTTGGCTCGAAGTCACCCCTACTCAAGTTCCCTCAAGGACTGATGTGCGCAGAGCTCCCACATTCCTCAACATTGAGAGTGGATTTCTGTGGCTTTGATAGTGGAAAAATAAAATCGTGGCCAGGTGTTAAAGCTTTGATCCAAGTTTCCTTTTTCGGGATCTGAGATGAAAGGGCTGCTCCAACGTTGCCTTGTGTGCACTCTGTAAGTCAGTTTTGGGGTGCCGGGCTCCTGCTTTTGCAGGTTATTTGATCTCTTCTGCCTGCAGACTTTTGAGGATTTTATCTTTCAAGGCTAGCGGCTTTAGCAGAATGCCTCCGAGTTCATTATTCTGGGTTGATTTTTCCTGGCATCTGAGGGAGTTTCTTTCMATGTGTGGACTCAGCTCTCCATATCTGAAAATTTTCCTTGGAATATTGTTTTAAACACGACCTCTGTGCCACTATTTTTTAATCTTTTTTTCCCTTCGGGAACTCTGAAAATATAAATATTATTTCTTTGCCTACCTTCCACGGTGTTTTTCTGTCTTTCTTCAATGCTCCTTTTCAAGACTATTTTCTATGGGATACCTTGTCATTTTTTTCCTTCATGTTCTAGATGATTTGTTTTTTCTTTTCTTCATTTTTTCCCCCCTGAGTTCAATGAACTCTCTTCATTTCGTCCTGTCCATCTCCCATTCTGCCCACAGCATCACTTGTTAGTTTGGAATTTCTGGTTTAAGTTGCTTTCCGCATTGTCAGATTCCCAGTTGACTTTGTCTAGTTCTGTTGGTGCTACAGGGTGTGGCAAAAGTGAATGGGCTCCTTTGTCCCCTCCCTCTCTGCGGCCCTCCTTGCTCCCTACTCTTGCATAGGCGCCAAATCTGCCATGCTACGTGACACAGCACAATGCTCTCAACCCAAAGCAGCTACCATTCTTGAATTTCCCTGTCCCCGGACCATGAGCTAAACAAACCTTTTCTTTATAAATTACCCAATCTCAGGTGTTCTGTGATAGCCATGGAAAATGGACAGAGACATGTGAGGGCTGACTTACAATCTCTTTCTACTTCATATTTGGTCTTCAGAGGAAGGGTATGGTTGTTTGTTGATCTGTGGGAAACTTCTATTCTTTTCTTTTTTAATGCTTTTTTAAAATTTGTTCTAATTAGTTATACATGACAGTCGAATGCCTTTTGACACATCATAAATAAATGGAGTATAACTGCTCATTTTGCTGGTTGTACATGATGTAGAGTTACACCAGTCACGTAATCATATATGCAAAGAGGGAAATAATGTCTGATTCAACTATCCTTCCTACCTCCATATGGCCTCCCCTCTCTTCATTTCCCTCTGTATAATCCAAAGTAACTCAATTCTTCCCCAGCCCCACCCCCTTATTATGAATCAACATTAGAGAAAATATTCAGCTTTTTGTTCTTTGGCATTGGCTTATTTCACTTAGCATGATATTCTCCAATTCCATCCATTTACTGGGAAACACCATGGTTTCATTCTTCTTAAAGGGTGAGTAATATTTCATTGTGCATATATACCACAACTTCTTTATCCATTCATCTATTGAAGGGCACCTAGGTTGGTTCCATAGCTTAGCTATTATGAATTCAGCTGCTATAAACATTGATGTGTCTGCGTCACTGTAGTATGTTGATTTTAAGTCCTTTGGGTATAAACCAGGGAGTGGGATAACTGGGTCAAATGGTTTCATTCCAAGTTTTCTGAGAAATCTCCATACTGTCTTCCAGAGTGGTTGCACCAATCTGCCRTCCCACCAGCAATGTATGAGAGTACCTTTCCCCCCACAACCTTGCCAACATTTATTGTTGCTTGAATTCTTGATGATGGCCATTCTGACTGGCTACTCCTGACTTTATATGGTAGCTGTGTATGCATGAAGTCGAGTCCGTTTTGGGGGTTGCTGGGTATTTGATAATCTTCCTGGTTTAACAGCCTCCTCTTTCATCTGTAAAGTCCGAGGACTCAGCACGGTTCTGTCTTGCTGGTGGGGGCAAGGGTGAGTTCTCCTCTTTATTTTTGGATTTTAGGGTTCTCTGTTGTTGTCATGGCTGTTTTGYGGGGCTCTACCTCTTTCTTGTTTTTTCCTTCACCACCCACTTGAAGCTATGATCATTTTCCTATAAATCATGTCTGTCCCTGTAATGAGGCTCTGCCTCACTTTGGGGCCCAGAGCAAAGGAGTCCCCTGACCGTGGGCTAAATCTCTGAAACCAAGAGCTAACATGAGCTTTCCCTCCTCTCAGCTGCTCTGGTTGGGAATTCTGACCCCTGCAGCAGCACAAAGCTAACTCAATTATCTTTATTATTATTTTTTTGTTCTATTTACCTTTGGTTTAATTTGTATTTCCTTTCCTGCTTAAGATTCAAACTTAACTTTTTTTTTTAAATGTAAGCATTTTTTTTTCATTCTGATATAGGTATTTAAAGCTGTCAACGTCACTGTATTTTAACTGCATCCCACAAATTTCGATATGTTAAGTTTTCGTTACTGTGAAGCTTGAAATATTTTGTTCTTTGAACCATGAAATATTTAGAAACGTGTTGCTTACTCTGCGTGCATTTGGGGACTTTCTAGATATTATTTTGTTAAGGATTTCTGATTTACCTCGGTGGTTGCCAGAGAATATATTCTATATAATTTCATTCTTTTGAAATATTTTGAGACTTATTTCATGGCCCAGGACAGGGTCCATCTTGGTGGATATTTCATGTCCATTTGAAAAGAATTATACTCTGCAGTTGCTGGGTACAGATTTTTGTAAATGTCAATTAAGTCGATGTGACTGACAGTGTTCATATTTTACGTCTTTATTGATAATTTGTCTTGTTCTATCATTAGTGAGTCAAAGATGTTAAAATCTCTAAGTATGATTGTGGATTTGTCTATTTCCCCCTTTGGTTCTTTCTGTTTTAGCTTTATTTATTTTAGCTTTTATCATTCATCCATCCATCCATACATCTGTCTATACGTCCGTCCATCTGTCCATTCATCCCTCCAGGTTTTGATACTGGGGATTGAACTGAGGGGCACTTTAACACTAGGCTACATTCCCAACCATTTTTATTTTATTTTTTTTATTTTGAGAAAGGGTCTTTCTAAGTTGCTAGGGTCTTSCTAAGTTGCTGAGACTAGCCTCAAACTTGTGATCCTCCTGCCTCAGCCTTCTGAGCAGTCACAGGAGTTACAGGTGTGTGCCACCATGCCTGGCAGCTTTATGTATTAATCTCCGTTATCCGGCATAAACACATTTAGTATCATTAGATCTTCCCAATGAATTGTTCCCTTTGTTATTATGAAACATCTCTCTTTTTCTCTAATAGTACCCTTTGACTTTGATTTGATGTCTACTTTCTCTAATACAAACACAGCAAAGCCAGTTTTCTATGCTTATTGTTTGGATGGTATATCTCTTCCTTTTTTTTTTTTTGGTAAATTTCTCTGGGTCTTTAAATTTAATAGGTGCCTCTTTTAGATATTTTATAATCGGATCTCACTTTTTAAAAATCCTGTCTGACAATCTCTCCTTTTTAGTTGACATATTTGATCCATTCACACTTAGTGTAATCACTAATGCAGTTACATTCCCACCTAGCCCTTTGTGTTTGTTTTCCTTCTGGTCTTCTCTTGTTTGTTTATTTTGCTTTCTTCTACTCTGTTGTGCATTTCCAGCTTTCTGTTCAACTACTCAGTATTTTGTGATACTCGGTTTTATTTCATTTGTTGGCTTTTTTAGCTCTGTTTTATTATTTTCTAAGCAGCTGGGCTAACAATACACATCTATAACTCAGCAGAGTCGACTTAAAGTTAACAATGTATCCCTTTGTACCTCCTCTACACATCTGTCCCTTCCCATTTCTGATTATTATTCTGACATTGTGTTCTTTGAAGTAGACTTCAGGACCAAATCATATCACTAATTGAAAAATGGACCAAATACTCCAGTTAGAAGGCAGAATATGATCAGTCTGGATTTCAAAGCAGTGTAAAATCTCTATATCAGGAAAGAGCACCTGGACTGCAAGGAGTACCAGAGACGCAGACTAGGGGATATTCCAGGAAGGTCAGCAAATCTTGGGCACTGGGATTAGAGCAGGATAGAGCGAGTCTTGCACTTTCTGCCTCCCCAGCTCAGCCTCGTAGGTGTTCTGGAACATTCCTCTGAGTGTATTGGCAGCTGTCTAATTATGGTATTTTGAGCTAAGAATCATATGAGGTCACTTGTGAGCTATCTCCTACCCAAAGAGCAGGAGCCCATTGACAGAGCTTTGCCTGCATTTGCAAACCTCTGGTCTAGCTCTGGACCCCTGGTTTCTGCAGGGACCATGTCTATGTCTGATACACACAATCCCAAGAAGGGAGGGCCCTGAGCAGGTACAGCTTCCTCCTGTGAAGTCCACACTCGCCGGCCTGCCCAGCCTGGTGGTCAGAGGGTGCTGGCCCTGACTCTGCACAGCAGACAGAGGTAGCCACACTTTGCACTGAGGCTCACCAGGGAGGCAGCGTGGTTGTTTACCATGGAGGTGGGCACAACTGGCATCGAGCAGATGCAAGCCAAGGAGGCTAGACCGCCCTGTGCTGCCCTTGACAGACCATCCCCCTGGACATTCTTGTATGGGAAAAACCTATTTGCACTTGTCTGAGTTTGGAGCCTAGCTTCCTATGTCCATGCAAACAAAACTATTTTTGTATTTTTTAAAAAATATATACTCTATCTGCCCAGAATTCAAACACCATGAAAACCAAGGGAAGGGTTTTCAACCACTGGCCCCACAACCTTGCCCACGCTGGGTTTGACACAAACACGTCCATCTACACCTAAGGCCATGACAAACTGGGGTGATCCTACATCTAGAACAGGGGAGGGAGGGAGACTCTCCAAGCAGAGAGAGCAGCACGTGCAAAGGCCCTGCGGTACGAGGGAGTGGCTTATGTTGCCGAAGGGAACAGACCACTGAAATTGGGCAGAGTGGGCATGGGAGGATGAAACCCCAGGAGCCTGGCCTATGCTGAGTGTAGCACCCATGAGCGGCTGAGGAAGGCTTTGGGTTACAGGAGTGAGGGGAAGTGTGAAGGTGCCCCCTCCTGAGGTCCTGGCCTGTGGATGACTGGTGGAACCACCTCTCAGGACCTGAACCCAGGAGATGAAGACCGCACCGACATTCTGCTCATCCATCTCCCCCGGGGCCTCTTAGGACCCCCCAACCTGCGGCAAACTCACCTGACTCTGCCACCTCGGCAATGGGTACCCCCTGCTCGTATGCCATGAAGCCCAGGACTGAGAAGATGGCAAACCCGGCCACGAAGCTGGTGCCGCTGTTCAGGCAACAGAGCATGATGCAGTCCCTGTGGGGAAGCAGCAAGAGGGACTCAGGTCAGAGTGGGCGKGACGGGTGCATTGCCGGAACACTGTCCACCTGAGCGCTGTGGGGGGGCAGGCAGGGAAGTGAGGGCAGGCACAGCCCCATTTCCCTGGTGAAGCACCCATAGTTCAGAGAGGTTAGGTGGCTGGCCCACGGTCACACAGCTTCTCCTGCATTTCTCCAAGATTAGGTAGGGCATGGATCACAAGCACAGAGAGGGGGTGGTGAAGGAAGGAACGGAGGCTGGCATGTGGTACAGTGCAGATCGAGTGAGAAGAAACCTGGGAGACAAACCAAAGTCCCCCTGAATCCCTGGAAGGAGAGAAAGCCAGGGAAAGAAGAGGATTATATTCCTGGGAACTCAAAACTGAGAGGATGGGAGAAGCCTCCCTGTGAGACAGCTGCCTCTGAGCCAGGGGACCACCCKGGACCTCACGCCTGGTGCTCCAGCTGCTTCTCGGGGAAGAGGTTTTATCGTGACATCCATCTGGGACCAGCTGCTGCCGACCAGAGCCACATCTCACAGAACTCACKGCTCAGTCTCTGTTCTGCTGCTATGAGGAGCAGCCCCTTCCAGCATGGACCACCTCGTGGAGGGATTTACTGGGGCAGCGGCTCTCATCTGCTCTGGAGAGGGACTTGCCAGCCAAGAAGCCCCCGCTGCACAAAGCCCAGGAGAAATCAGACTACAAATGTCAGGGCTTCGTCAACCTGGAGAAAATGGATCCCTGACAGTCTCAGCCTATTGCCAAGTCGGGGCATCCGCCTCCCAGAATCCCAGCCACCAAAGAGCATGGGTGGGGCTGTGGCTTGGGCACACGGCCTGAGTCAATGCCCTGCCATGACTCRGGGCGGGACAGTGACCCAGTGGGTGGCGAGCCTGCTTCTGCAGGACCCTCCCCTGTTCTCAGTAGTCCCTTCCCTGCTTAGACTGCATGAGACCCAAACCTGCTTTCCTCTGGGAAGTTTTGGTTTTACCCTCAAAAAAATAGCCTGGCGCGCCTTCAGGCTGGGGAGATCTAAAGATAGTGGACTTGTATCCCTTTGAGTTTTTTGTTCTCCCAGTTCAACATCCCAGTTCCGTCACCAGCTCTTCATCCTGCTCCTAATCTCTAACGTACCCCGTTCGCCAAGCCCCTCTTCAATTATTACATCCGGGACTGAGCAAGAGGCTCAGACATGGAGTGAGACGTTCACCTCCTCTTCTCCTGACACTGTGCTTCATGTAATGCAACCAAAGGTGATAAGAACATGGTTGGCGACTGACAGGATGATTCTAAGGGAGAGCCTCTGGACTAGGAGTCAGGACCCGTGGGTTCCAGTTCTCCCTGCGGTGTCTTTATTTGGGGTCTGATCTCACCCAGGACAAGGCCAGCTGTTTGGGTAACTGGGTCTCTTGGGATTTGTGCCCCATCAAATCACTCTCAGCAAGCTGTCACTCCTGCTCCCTTCTCGCTGGAGACGAGTGTATTTCCCTGCCCCGCCRACTCTGGCCTTGGCCACATGACTTGCTGTGGACAACGAGACGTGAGCCAATGTGACACAAACAGAGGCTTGAGTTGTGCTGGCCTAATTGGACTTGTCCTTTATCATTTCTGTGATTTTCCATGAGAAGAATTCCTCAGGGGAGCTGCCATCTCTTCAGCCTGGACCCCAGAATGCACACACATGGCACGCACTTGAGCTTGGCCTGGAGTCAGACTCACCCAACCCTCAGCCCGGAGAATTTCCCTGGCTGACCGGCAGCCTGGAGAGCAGTAAGGGAAAATGTTTGTTACGGTCAAACTTCCCTGAGGTCTGGGGCTGTTTGTTACACAGCATTAATGTGGCAGTGGATGACTGATACAGGTTTTTTTTTTTTTTTTTTAAATCACTCTGTGAATGCTGGCTGGGCTGGTAGCCCTGCCACATTATCTGCAAACCTCATTTGCCTCTGCTATACAGGAAACTCAGTCCAGGCCTGGATGAGGGCCAAGCTCTTCTTAAGGCAGAGACAAATCTGCTTCTCCTGCCTGGGTCCGGGAGTCTGGGGTAAAATGGGCCTGCTTTATTGAACAGAGTGACATGAGATGGTGCTGGGAATGCAATGGACGCATTGCCTCCACGTGGGCTACATTTTGGACTTCTCCTGTATTATTCTTATTTATTTTGGGTACCAGAGATTGAACTCAGGATGTGGCCCTCRACCCCAGAGCCACACCCCCAGCCCTATTTTGTATTTTATATAGAGACAGGGTTTCCCTGAGTTGCTTAGCACCTCGCTTTTGCTGAAGCTGGGTTTGAACTCACCATCCTCCTGCCTCAGCCTCCTAAGCCGCTGGGATTACAGGTGTTCACCCGCCCCCATGCCCGGCTCCTATATCGTTTTTAAAGGAGCTGCAGCGTGTCAGGCCCTACACTAGGTTTCACTCAGACCTGGAGGACCAGAAAAGGAGAATCAGCTACTGCAAGTCTCACAGTCACTTGTGAAGTTTGGGATGCATCTGAGATGCTATTTCCAGGAGCTGAACAAAAATGATGTGCCCCAAGAAGTAAGATTTCCAGAGCCTGGGTTTTGGACAGTTATCTCTGGGCATCCATACAGAGGGCAAAAAAGAAAATGTTCCCAGTTACAAAATCCCCATCTTCCTGCAGAGGTCTCTTGGGTGACTTCCTCCAACCACAGAGTGACAGGTAGACAGAGAGGGAAGCTCTCAAGGGTCGTAGGGTCCCTTCCATCCCTGTGACCTGCTCTCCAGCCCCCCGGGCATCCATGCAATCAGGCTGTTGTGGCCTAGTGCTGTGTTCTCTGAGGGGACGCTCTCCCCTGTCCGCGTGGGTCCATTCCCATCCCTCTAATTCCTTCCCTGCGCCAGCTCGAGAGCACTGCTTAGGTGAAAGCCTTATATAACCAGTGCTTTGAARTCAGCAGGAGCTCAGCTGGGCTGGTAAGACCTCCAGAAGCGATTATGCTGTCAGGAGAGAGGGTATTAATTTACTCCGTCTGAGATGGGAAAGACCTGCTTGCAGAACGATTTTGAAACAGGACTAAAATGAGCCTTCTGATTTTTGCAATGTCACCTAGGGTATTTGCTTTCTTCTGCTGATAAGAGACAGAAAGGAAAAAAAAAAAAAATCCCGGGCTGTTGGATGGCAAAGCAGARGGATTGGGGGGTAGCTGGTATCGGTCACTTGGGTGCACATTTGGAAGAAGCAACTGCCCAGGGACCCAGACTGGTGACAAGACAGCTTCGGCCAGATTCAGATCTAATAGCCTGGAAGGAACTGGCCACCCCTGGTAGTATCAGGGCCAGGAAAGCCATATTCTATCAGCAGCTATGGCAACACAAGCAAGTGACTTAAATTCCATGGGCCACCGTCTCCTTGTTGGTACAAGTGACAAATGGGTGTCTTATGGCATGAAAGCCAGCGCGAGACCAGGCCCACAGGATACAGGAAGAATTGCTGGTGTCCTCTGGCTCCTGATGGCCTGGCTGGAGGGGATAGTCAGTGATCACGAGATTACCAGTGTCCAGAGATTGAATTTGGGGCCCTCRACCACAGAGCCACCTCCCCAGCCCTATTTTGTATCTTATATAGAGTCAGGGTCTCACTGAGTTGCTTGGGGCCTTGCTTTTGCTGAGGCTGGCTTTGAACTCACCATCCTCCTGCCTCAGCCTCCCAAGCCGCTGGGATTACAGGGTCCCGTGCTGAGTGCCAGCACCTCTCTGAGACAACCCAAGGGGGTCGTCGTCAGCCTGGGCTGGGAGCCTGCTTGTGCTGCTGTCCCTAGCTGAGGGCCTGTCCCTGGCTGCCCGTGGTTCCCACTTCATACCGTGGTTGACAAACTGCCTGATCTCTCAACCCCGAGACCCATCTCCTCAGTGACAGCCTGGAGCACAGCAAGGGTCTTACAGAAACCTGGCCCAACCGCCCACCTCTCCGGCATCCCTCCTTCCAGCCACACTCAACTGCTCCTCAGCCCAAGGGCCCCAGAAACCCGGCCCAGGGGCACACGCCCCTCCCACATGCCCTCACCTACACTGAACGGGGATTCGTTTTTTTGGGTTACTGCTCATGATCTAGTTGAGAAAAACAATCTTGTTTTTATAAGAGTCTGTTGCTTATTTTTCTTTTCTCTCTTCTTATTTATTTACTTTGCTGTGCTGGGGATGGAACCCAGGGCCTCATGTAGGCTGGACATGCACTCCACCACCACGCTGCACACCCAGCCCTAATAGGACTTCTCTCTCTTTCCCTCCCTCTCTCTCTCTCTCTCTCTCATTGTACAGGGGACTGAACCCAGGGGTGCTCTATCACTGAGCCACGTCATTCAGCCCTTGTTAATTTTTATTTTGACGCAGGGTCTTGCTAAATTGCCCATTAACCTGCCCTGTGCACTCTCCTGCCTCCATAGCTAGGATCACAGGCATGGGCCCCTCCCCTGTGCCTGGCTGTAGTTTATTTTTCTTTTGTATTTTAGTGTTTTTCATATTGACACATTCATCACCTTAACAGTATGGATCTAACCCCACTGAATATCATATTATATACTACTACGCCCTTTAGTTTTGAGGATGATTTTCATATTTTATTTAGAGATAAACATACAGGGGTTGTGGCTCAGTGGTAGAGTGCTTGCCTAGCATGCATGAGGCACTGGGTTCGATTCTCAACATCACATATAAATAAAAAGAATAAAATAAATGTCCATCAACATCTAAATAAAATACAATATATAGATATTTGTACTAACTTTTTTTTTTAAATTAAAGTCAATAAGTACTCATAGTAATAGAAAAAAAAACAGAAAAAGATCTTAATGGTATAGGAGGTATAAATGAGGGGGGGACATCTCCGCCCCCTGACTTCCCAGGCCCAGTCTCTAGGCTATTTTGAACAGTTTTTAAAAATTTCTTAATAGGGCTGGGGATATGGCTCAAGCGATAACACGCTTGCCTGGCATGCGCGGGGCACTGGGTTGGATCCTCAGCACCACATAAAAATAAAATAAAGTTGTTGTGTCCAACTAAAAACTGAAAAATAAATATGAAAAAATTCTCTCTTCTCTCTTTAAAAAAATTTCTTTATAGAAAATTTTAAAGTTTAGAAGTCTAACAATCTATATTTTTAAAAAATATTTATTTTTTAGTTGTAGTTGGGCACAGTATCTTTATTTTATTTATTTACTTTTATGTATTGCTGAGGATTGAACTCAGGGCCTCGCATATGCTAGGCGAGCGCACTACTGCTGAGCCACAACCCCAGCCCCAACAATCTAGGTTTTTGCTGGGTGTGGTGATGCACACCTATAATCCCAGCAACTCAGGAGGCTGAGTCAAGAGGATTGCAAATTCAAGGCCAGCCTCAGCAACTTAGTGAGAACCTGTCTCAAAATAAAAAAAATACAAAGGGCTGGGGATGAGGCTCAGTGGTTAAGCATYCCTGGGTTCAATCCCCAGTACCAAAAGAGAAAAAAAATTTTTTTTACATGAACCAATGTCACTCTCTTCCTTTGTGATTTCTTTTTTTCTAATGATTTTTACATGTTTTCCCATTCTGAAATTAAGTATTTTATTATTCCTTATTTGAGGATAGTTCCCTTTCAAAATTCAACTCTTTAGTCAATTGTATTATGTGACTATATGGGACGAAGTTTGAGGATCTAACTTATTTCCCCCAAATATTCATCTCAGAATCACTTGTTCCAACGCTGTTCCTTTCTCTACCAACATGTGACGGGGAACGGCTTTGCYGTCATTATTCCACAGTCTTATCTCTGGTGATCTTGGGGTCTTAGAAGAGACCCTCTATCATCCACCTGTAAGTACTCCCCCAACCTGTGAGGGCTCTGAGTCCAGAGGTGCAGAGACCTCAACCAAAAGATAATCACGGTACAGATTTCACTTGCCCCCGTGCTGCTGGGAAACTCTGGGCACGTGCAGGTCTCAGCCCTGCTGTGGGGCTCCCCTTGCCACCTGGGTGTGGCCATCTATAGGAGGTCAGGGAGGGAGGCCGGTCAGGCCAAGGGGCAAGGCGGGGCAGCAGCCACTCCAGGTGGGACAGGAGAGAACCCTACAGTCAAGGAAGACGGGCAAGGAAGCCGATTTGTGAATAGATGGTGGAGGGATAAGCCCTTCTATGTTGGAACACCTGAGTCACCTGTTGATGTTGCCACTAGTGAGCTGCGTGACCTTGGGCAAGTTCCTTGCCGGCTCTGGGCTAAATTTGTGCCTCCAAGTAAGGTGACACCGACAGAGGCTAGAGAGAGATTCTGGGGGGCGGATTCACCTTTGCCGCAGACTCTGATTGCTCTAGTAGCCCTACCTCCTCTGGTGGCCCCCTCTTTGACCCTTGGGCAGGAGGAGGTCAGCCAACAGCCCATATGTTCCCTCCTGGGCCCTGCAAGGCAGGCAGCTGAAGGGACTGGTGTGATGCTGCAGAAGGGTCCCCGGGAGCAGGGAGGAGGGCAGGCGGGCCCCGGGGGTGCTCACCTGTAGCAGTTGTTGTTGTAATTGTTATAGCTTCCCAGAGCAGTCAGGCAGCCCAGGCAGATGGCGTAGGAGAAGAAGATCTGCGTCCCAGCATCGACCCACACCTGCAGGAAGGACAAAGAAGTGGGCATAGAGGTGAGTTCAGTGTGTGTGTGTGTGTGTGTGTGTGTGTTGGTGGGGAGCGGTGTCTTGTTTTCTGATATCCCCCACCCACCATAAAATCGTCCACAAAGGGATAATCAAACTTCCTAATCTTCTCAGGACCACCTTTTAAAAAGTCCTAGTTTTGTGGACTTCCTGATGAAATACATACGACGCTCTAAGTGAATTCCAGAATCTTCCGGAGGTTATGGATAAAAGCTCACAGTGTGGAATGAATTTGGATGTGGAGGACTTTGGTTTCAGCTGTGTGCCCTTGGAAAAGTGACTTAAGCTCTCTGAGGCACAGTGTCCTTACCTGCAAAGTGGAGAAAAAAACTTGTCTGTCATTCAAGCAAGGAGCACCACCCCTCTGTGGGGGTGCATGCTTGCTCCTAAGGTAAGTCATGTGTGAGCCAAACGAACGCTGTCATTTCCTGGTGGTTAAGAGGACCACAGGAACACAGTCAGGAGACTCTTCAAGGCTGGCATTTGGACAGCCTCCCTGAGCACAGAGGAGGCAGGGAAGCGGTCATCAGGGGCTCTCTTGGAGCTCGGCTCCCAGAATTTACCTAGGAAAATCTCCAGCTAGAGCCCAAATGCGGCTGATGAGACTCATGCTTGGGCATTATGTACCCTCTAGAGAATGGCATTTGGCACTTATTAGGCACTTATGATGTGCCAGGCATCTTGCTGAACCTTGACACATGACCACATGAATATTCACAGTATCAGTGTGCAGGAGGGACTATTAGCTCCCTTTTATAGCCTAAGGAGACTGAGGAACAGTGAGGGTGAGTAACATGCCCAAGATCACACAGCTGGGAAGGGGTGGATGCAAATCCATGGAGGCCCATCTTTAGAGATGCATGCTTAACTGGTCTCAGAATTTCAGATTTTTTTTTTTTCTTTAGCACTGCTGGGGATTGAACCCAGGACCTCACACATGCTGGGTAAGCTTTCTACCACTGAGATATAGCTTGGATTGTGAGATTTGGAATCAGTCTCAGAAGTCCCCTGGTGTCACCTCTCTCCCAACACAGGACTCTGTTCTCAGTACTTCTGATAGAAGATTCTCTGATTGCCGTCAATGACAGGAAGGGCACCATCTCTAGACACAAATGATTTCTTCTTTATAGAGTCAGACTGTTAGCTCATGTTTTAAAATAAGAAGGATTCCTTTCCAACTGCTGGGGTCACTGGACCACATCTTTCTCTTCTGCCTGGCAGGACTTTAGAGGTCTGAAGAAATCGTGGCTCCCTACTGAACCCCCAACCTCTCTCATTTCCAGATCAACTATCTATATGTCCTCTCTCTTGGGGATCTGATTATCTGGTTCAGGTCACTCTACTCTGGAGTTGCTCAAATCCGTTACATCATTCAACAGACTCCAGGGCTTGCCTCTTGATCTAAGGCATGGATTATTATTATTTTTTTTCCTCCTCGAAGCTGGCTCATTGGGTCTGATCTTGCACCTCCACATGAAGAATTCAGGGAGAGCTATTTCATGAAGTGGGGCTGGGGATGGAGAACACCAGCAGACCAGAGAGGAAGCAATGGAAAGAGGGAATGAAAATTAAAAATAAAAAAGGAACTCTCCGGATGTGGAGGCGCAGGCCTGTAAATCCCAACAGCTGGGGAGGCTGAGGCAGGAGGATCGCGGGTTCAAAGCCAGCCTCAGCAATAGCAAGGTGCTAAGCAACTCGGTGAGACCCTGTCTCTAAATAAAATACAAAATAAGGCTGGGGATTTAGCTCAGTGGTTGAGCACCCCTGAGTTCAATCCCCATTACCCCCTCCAAAAAGAACTTGAGAAATTTTGCTACAAGTGGGAAATTGAGGTTGCTTAAATATTCATAGGAAGGGCCCTATGGAGAAATAAAATGTGGCGGGTTCAGAAGAAAAATGGGTGTATTTTTAATTCCTCCTGCTATGCCTCAGTTTCCCCATTTGCTATCTTTAGTGAATTCCCCTTTCCACTCAAAAGGCGAGTAAACCATACAGAGGTGCAGAAAGCAGGAGGGACCTGGTGTGGCCACTGAGATGCCTGGTTCCTACACATGCGCTCACTTTGGAGTCTTCTGCAAATGAGAGTCCCTCCCTCACTGTCCTCAGGCCAAGTGGGCAGACCAGAGAGAGAGAGAGTCCCTGATATAGGTGAGAAAAAGCTTGCTCCCTCACGACAGCACCCCGCCATCCAGTAGAGGGGCTCTTCCCGCGCTCTCCACCCCCCATACTACAGTGGTAAAAACCCTCTGTGTCAGAAATACCAAAAGGAAATTTTAATCCACATGCCCCCAAACCAGTGAAATCACTAGCAAGTCATTTTCTTGCAGTCTGCTCATTAGAAACAACGCTAAAATAGAGAAAGTACCGTTTTTTTGCCTACTCAGCATCCACCTCCCCTTTGTGGCCAGGGGCAGCTCAATTTCCCTTTGGGGAGTCCCTTCTCCCTCACTCACAGGGAGCTTCAGGGGAGGTCTCAGGACGCAGAGCTGGCCAATCAAMACAAAGCGTTTCTCCTGACCGCAGTGATTGGCTCAGGGATGAGCAGATGATGCAAGCTAAGCCAATGATGTTGAGAGCCACAGCCAAGGGGCCCCAGCAAACTTCCAGCTGCCAACTGATTGGTTCCTTTGCGGTGATGCTCATTGGGCTGTTTCCCCGCCCTTTCAGACCACGGAGCTGCTCATTGGGGGATTTTTTGGCTCCGCCCATGCAACCCAGCCAATMGGCCTCAAGAGCAGGAGGAGTGGGGGAGGTTGAGAGGCTTGTGGGAAGCCGGTGGTGGCAGTTGGGCTCTGAGGGTTTTTCCTGAGGAGCTGTGTGGTGCGGTGTGTGTGGTTCTAAAAATAAAGTTCATTTCTTTTGACAAGTGGCTCCTGAATTGTGCCCAGCCAGACTGCGGCATTTGGTTCCCTGTACAATGAGACTCAATCCTGGAACTTTTACTGGACTCTTGCAAACTGGACACCTTCTTTTCTGATGGGGATGCTAAGCTCCTTAACTTACRGAGGCCATAACTGACCATGAAGGAAGAGCTTGCCTGAGAATAAAACCAATCTACAGGAAAGAAAGGAGTCCAGAACCAAGAAATACAGAGATTGGYGCTATGACTTGAGTCCCTAGATCCTGTCATTCCTGAAATTAGCTGCCSTAGAGCATTCAGTTTCAGAGGTCTATAATTTTCTCTTTTTCCTAAGTCAGTTAAATTGAATCACGGTCACTTCAAACTGATATCTTTTGCCTAATAGCAATGGTAAGCTCTTAGAAAAATCCCAGAGTGTGTAAACCCCAGTCCTTCAATCAATGGTGAATTACCGATGACCCAGCACTTACTGAGCACCTTCTGTGTGCAGAATTCTGTGCCAAACTCTCAAAATGGTATCATACCATTTTACACAGCACTTCATCTCTGACCTCAGGAGAAATAAATGAAACATTCACAAAACTTGGTGTCTAGTCCCGAGAGAGGTAAGTAGGGTTGGAGGAGAGAGAGAGAGTTCTATTTGCTTCAGCAATCAGAGAAGGCTGAATGTCTCCTGGAGGAGACATTTTTACACTTGATCTTCATCAAAAGGCTGAGGAGTGATTGAGGAGACATTTCTTTCAACATTGGACAAGATGCAGAAGAGGGCATGCTGGTCCAGGTGAGAGGGGGTGTGTGTGTACTCAAATGATTTTTCCTTCTTGCTCTCCTACTTCTGTAGGGAAAAAGTCTGTTGTTTTCCCTCTAATGGTTACCATTAAACCCTAACCTTTAAACAGTACCTTCAGTCATTCCTTTTTATTCCTGTCTGATGGTTCCCTACAGCGAGGAATATAAGAAATTAAACCATTAGACTATCTTTCTCTTCGTTCCCTCTCCCCTAGCATCAAATATGAAGAAATATTCATTTGCTTCCAGTTAAGAAGTCATTCTATGATGTGGTGGCGCACACCTATAATCCCAGCAGCTTGGGAGGAGACTGAGGCAGGCAGATCATGAGTTCAAAGTCAGCCTCAGCAACTCAGTGAGACCCTGTCTCAAAATAAAAAATAAAAAGGGCTGGGGAAGTGGCTCAGTGGTTAAGTGCCCCTGGATTCAGACGCTGGTATGGAGGGAAAAAAGTCAATCTGTGAAATTATTCTGTGATACTTCTCCTTTACACTTTCTAATTTTTAGTACACAGATGTTATATGCATTATTAGAACAAACCAACACACATCAGGTTCTGTCCTACACCCATTATCTGTAAACTCTACAGGTGACTATAAATTAAATGAGCATCTCTAGGCCTTCCATCAATACCTTGCCAGTTATTTTGGTTATCTGTAGCTTGTTTTCTAGTAAATTTCTCTGGAAAACATCATGGGAGTAGGTCCTGGATTCTTGTATGTGCATAGTAATTCATCTGTGGCTTTCATACTTGAAAGTCCATTGGGCTGCATGTTAAATCCTCATGTCTCTTTTTCTGACTATCTGAAATAAGTTTTTTTCCAGCACTAAGTGCTGCTGTAGAAAAGACTTATTGCCAATCTAATTAGCTTCCCCTTAAAATGCACTTTTTCTTTTTATCTGGATGCCCCATTGAGTTTTTTCTTCTCTCTTGGCAGCCCAATAGTTCTATTGGACCATRTCTTAATGTTGACTGTTTGGGGTTGATTTTCTCATGTTTGTGGTGTGCTTCTTCAAGATCAAGTTCACACCCTTCTACATTCCCCTGTCCGTTGCAGTGCTATTCAAGATAATCAAGAAATGGAAAAAAAAATCTAAGTCTTCATCAACCAATGAATGGAAAAAGAGATTGTGGTACATAGACATCATAGAATACTATTCAGCCATAAAAAGGATGAAATCCTGTCATTTGCAGCAATGGACATAGAACTGGAGAGTGCTATCCTAAGTGCAATGAGCCAGGCACAGAAAGACAAGAACTGCATGATCTCCCTCATGTGTGGAATCTAAGATTGTTGATTTCATAGA